TCAGCTTGTTCAGTCCGAGGATGTGAACAGGATTCTTGGAAGTTCACACCTACCTTTCCTTGTGTGACCCTTGGCCCTCCTCACTGCTTAAGAGGTGCTCAGGAGGCAGCCTCCTTCGTTGGACTATGTGGTTCTGAGGAGCTTATATTTTAAATGGTTTATAGCTCTGGGTTAACATTAAACAAGATAAAACTTTATTGGTAAAACAAGCATATTGGTTACCAGATTTTTTTAAGTGGCTCAGTAAAATCTCAGGTCTCTTGTCAGCTTTCCCCCTCACACTCTTAAAATCCTCTAACTTTATTAGATTGTGCCTAATATGCTCCCTTAAGTATATTTCTTCCTTCTTTAGAGTCTTAATGCCTTTCACAGCCCTCCTATATGATTTTATTTGGAGGACTGCCTCTCTGAGTTTGTCGATTGACCACAACTGACAGCTGCTGACTGACTTCTGATTTCCAACTTCAGACTTCCAAGTTCAGACAGAACACTTTTCTCTCTCTCCACACACACAAACCTCGTAGCTCCACCCACACACTCTCAGTCACCAACCAATCACCTCACTCACCTCCCTTTTTCACACACCCCGTTCTTCTGACACTTCTTCACTCATGAGGTAAATTTAATTCTTTGCACTTCTGAATCAGAGCCTCCTTCTTCATTCCTAGAAACTCTACCATTTCCCCCTCTCGATTTTTTCTTTCCACAATTTTACTAAACCTCACACTTATGTTTTCTGTAAGAATTCCACTAGTTTCTTTAGGTCTTTTCCCTTTATAACAATTCTATTTCCCTCATAGAATTCAATTGAACATCAAATCTCCTCAGCAATCTTTCTCTCAGAGTTTTCTTTCCTCTCCAGATTTTCTATTGCTTCTACTTTTGCAGCTTGGCTAGAGTGGGCAACAGTGTTTCCACCAAGGTACGCCAACATGTGCTGGTGCACAGTTTTTCACCCCTTAGTGAAGAGTTTTTCAGATCACCACAGGAGTGTTTCCTCTCCTGGGCGGCCCACCCTCCCACTCAGGCAGCCCTATAAGGGCCTCCTTCCTACAGCAGCAAGCCTCCAGGAGTGAAGGAAATTTCCCTTCCCTTCACTTGCGGAGGTGTGCTGCCGAGGCAGTGCGACTCCAGAGAGTGAAGGAGGCCATTTTTATATGCCTCCCCTTCCCTCCCTGAGTTGTACTGCAGCAGGAGCACGCCTCCAGGAGTGAAGAGAGGGCAATTTTATTTCCCTTCACTGGTGGAGGTGAGCCGTCGAGGCAGCATACCTCTGGAGAGTGGGCATTTTTAAATGCTTCCCCTTCCCTCTAAGAGTCATGCTGCAGCAGCGGCATGCCTCCAGAATGGAAGGGAAGACAATTTGCCCCAGCATTGTTGGGAGGCTGCATGAGGGCTATCTCCTTTCTTTCTTTCTTTCTTTCTTTCTTTCTTTCTTTCTTTCTTTCTTTCTTTCTTTCTCTGTCTGTCTGTCTGTCTGTCATTCTTGCCTCATCTATTTGCTTGCTTTCCCCTTCCTTCCTTCCTTCCTTCCTTCCTTCCTTCCTTCCTTCCTTCCTTCCTTCCTTCCTTCCTTCCTTCCTTCCTTC